TGCTGAAGATAATTCAAAAATGGTTATGCAGTATGTTGACAAGGAACTTCCAGAAATTCAATCTGAGTTCAGAAGAGGATGTGGAACAAGGGTTGTCATTGCTGGTGTCAGATGAATCTTAGCTGGAGGAAAGAATAACAGAAAGATGTCTCCTGTGTTTTATTGACTATGCAAAGGCATCCAATTTGGTGGATCATAACAAATTACAGATAACATTGCAAAGAATGGGAAGTCCAGAACACTTAACTGTTCTCATAAGGAACCAGTACATAGATCGAGAGGCTGCTGTTTGAACAAAACAAAAGGATACTGCATGGTTTAAAATCAAGAAGGGTGTATGTGAGGGTTGTAGCCTTCCACCATACTTACTCAGTCGGAACAAATAATCCAAGTAGCTCTACTATATGAAGAAGAATGAGGCATCAGCATTGAAGGAAGACTCATTAAGAACCCATGATATGCAGATGACACAACCTTGCTTGCTCAAAGTGAAAAGGACTTGAAGCACCTACTGATGAAGATCAAAGACTGAAATCTTCAGTATGGACTATGCCATAACATAAAGAAAACAAAAGTTCTCACAACTGGATCATTAAGCAACATCATAAGAAATGGAGAAAAGACTGAAGTTGTCAAAGATTTCATTTTACTTAGATCCACCGTCAACACCAATGGAAGCAGCTGTCAGGAAATCAGATATCGTATTGCACTGGGAAAATCTGCTGCAAAAGATCTCTTCAAACTGCTCAAGAGCAAAGATATCTCTTCGAATACGAAGGTGCACCTGCCCCAAGCCATGGTATTTTCAATTGCCTCATGTGCATGTGAAAGCTGGACAATGAATAAAAAAGATGGAAGAAGAGGTAACGTTCTTGAATTGTGGTGTTGGTGAAGAATACCAAAAATGCCATGTACTGCCAGAAGAACGAACAAATCTATCCTGGAAGAAGTGCAGTTAGAATGCTCTTTGGAAATGAGAATAGCCTGACTTTGTCCCACCTACTTTGGGCATGTGGTCAGAAGAGACCACTCCCTGGAGAAGGGAAAGCAGGGTCAGTGAAGAAGGAGAAGACTCTCAATGAGATGGATTGACAGAATGGTTGCAATGATGGGCTCAAACAGCAAGGATTGTGGGAATGGCACAAGATCAAGAAGTGGTTCTTTCTGTTGTACATAGGATCACTTTGAGTTTGAGCCAACTCTACAGCACCCAACAACAAAAACATCCAACGCCTTCTAAGACAGGTCACAGATAAAAGTAAAATCTACTTTGTGAATATAATATATATATATGCATTGTAATCATACTTGCCTCTTGATCTATGTACTGGTTCCTCATGAGAACAGTTAAGTGTTCTGGACTTCCCATTCTTTGCAATGTTATCCATAATTTGTTATGATCCACCAAATTGGATGCCTTTGCATAGTCAATAAAACACCTGCTCTTCCAGCCTGCTACTCTGGGTGTCCCTGAGTTGTCTTCTCCTCACCTGTAACCCTGGGGCTGACTGCTCTTCTGTCCGGGTTCAAGTTGTCAAAAAGGAAATGGAATGCATAAAATTGATATCCTTGGCATTAGTGAGCTGAAATGGACTGGTTTTGGCCATTTTGAATCAGACAA